AGTATTTTCATTGTCTGAATGTTGGGGTTTTGTACAGATATACATTATGGCTTCAGTTGTGTTTCAGAAAGACCTGATGATCTGTGAAATAGATTGAGCATCTACTTACACCCAAACATTCTCCTAAGCACGGTCGATGTATTTTCTCACATACTTCATGCTAATCCTTGTAAATCATCATAATTGTCACTCAAATTTATAGATGATGAAGGAAAACTAAGTGGTAAACTTGAGATTCACATGTGGATGTTGTAAGACTAGAGTCTACTAGGCTCATGTGTGGACACAGCATCTGAATTTCTAAAGCAAGAGTATAAGTTGTTTTCCCTTAGCCAGGAAAGCATATTGGAATGTTCTTTCAAAGGTCTTTAAAATATCAACTTTATTGAAATTAAGTTCTTGAAGGAGCGCACATAGCCAACCTGTTTTATAAAATACTAAGACAGTTATTCTAGTATCCGGTTTCCATTTATTAAGCTAAGCAGGTCTCTGTTTTGCCTCTCATGTTAAAAAATAGCTGCAGAACTATTAACAACAGTTTTATACTGATGAAATTATTTTTCACAACTTATTATCATTTCCTATTAAAAATGTAATGTACTCATTCCTCCCTCAAACTTTGACCAATGTCTTCATTTTCCCTTCAAATTATACTGAGAAAGTAGGTGAAATTGAGTTAGATATACAAAAAAATAACTACACAACTATTGGTCTCCAGTTAGTGTTTGGATATAAGCCAAGTTTATACTAGCTTTCATTGTTAAAGTCAGCCTTATCTATCCAAGAGCACTTGAATGGCCTTCCAGGGAACTGGGTTGTAATAAGAACACTCTCACAAACCAACCTGCTTACTTAATACTCTAAATGCAGTCTGAAGATCTACTAGAGCTTTTCTGAAAAACACAACTGGACTCAGGGTAAACACAATTAACTCAAGATAAGCCTGAATAGAATAATAATGGTAAGATGTTTTAAATAGTGTGTGCTCTATGAAAGTAGTTTCTTTTAGCTTAAAAAAAATGGTATAGTGTTAAGGGGAGCAAGAGTTCTCTCAAAAACAGGTTCCACCCAAAGACTGCAATAAAAGAGTTACAACTCCAATATCATAGGATTATTAAATAATTGGTTAATTTATTATTCTGTTTCTTTTTCATGTCACATTAAATATTGTAATTGACTAGAAGGCAGAAAAATATAACATATTTTTTTAAAAAACATGTATAAATTAAACTCCTTTTCTTTTAAAAACCTTTATACACTATTTTGACCATATTTGTAAGCAGTATGTTAACTTATTTGTGTTACATAATATAGTGTTACATAAAGAAGCTAACTGAAGAAGAAATGAAAGAAATGTGATCTGTAAAAATAAAATTTATTATGTGATAATATTTCTAGCAAACTAAGAGACCCTAACTTGGTTCATGGCCAGTGATAAATTTATTTAATAATACTAGAGAGTAAAATGGTTGCTGTTGCTGCTGTTTTGGGGGGTCTGTTGTTGTTGATTGGGGTTAGGGGGTTCTTTTTTGTTTGCTTGGTTTTTGGTTTTTTGGTTCTCTGGGTTTTTCTGTATAGCCCTGGCTGTCCTGGAACTCATTGTGTAGACCAGACTAGCCTCAAACTGATAGATCAGCCTGCCTCTGCCTCCTGAGTGCCAGGATTAAAGGAGTGTGCCACCACTGCCTGACTTGGAGTAAATGTTTAATGTGTTCTTCAGAATTAAATTTTTTTCTTTTCTCTAAAATAATTCATTAATTTAAAAACTGAAATAATTTAAAAACTGTTGAGATTATTTGTCTTAAACTAATACACTGACAAATATCATAATACTAAATTACACATGAAAGAATAATCACCTGGATTTTTTGAGGAATTTCTGCTTTCCTGAAAATTGCAGCATAATATAAAAATATAGTTCTTTTTGTCAAATGAATATTATAATGAGACTATGATATATAGTTCATGTTTTTCATTTTTCATTAAACACAATAGCTTCATTTTTATTCACCAAATTTTGCAATTAATTATATTCTACCTATTGCTTCACTTAATATTCAACTATGATCACATATATTCAAAGTTACACATGAATTTAAAAGTAATGAAAAAACATTGAGTTATTTAATGTATTGTTTTTACTTCTTTCTCCAGTTAACCAAAAATTTAAAATGGGTGAGCAGATACTTGGAGCTTGTGAAACTGCCATTAATGAAAAATCTGGGGCAGGAAGAGAATGTCCATACGAGGGGACATTTCCCAAATGGGGGAAAGACTGACACACCTAGGCAGGATGCAGATCTTATTTATAATTTTGCAAAGTTTTTTCTCTACACAATTAGTTGGAATACTTTTACATATTAAGTGAGTTGTTAAAATAATTTAATATTGCAGTATAGTTCTTTGTAGAAAAAGATTACATTTAAAAAAAAATACATGTTTAGCGTTCATCCACAGACAGCTCTTCAAAACCAGGCCCAGAGAAATGTTTGTTCTCTCATCAGTTGTGTACTAGTCACTCATCTTCATTGTGAATGAATTCTGAATGAGTCAGGAGTTAAGCTATACTGTAGGCTGGACCCCTGTCTTCCATTAACTCTGCTGTAAGATATGACTTATGTTAATGCTTTAGAAGCTTTCCTAAATCCCAAACAAAAACAAGGAATTAGGTTCTTGGACTTTATCTGAATTCTGGAAAAGTGACATCATTGTACCTCTAAAGGCAGAATTAGCTTTCCTGGATTAATCAAAGCCATGTATAAAGCAGGAAATACATTTTATTTTGTGAATACCTATTTTGATTCTTTAAAGGTGATTGTATTTATTTATCTGCAAAATTAAAAAAACAATTCTGAATAAATAGTTACTATCAAAATTAAGTAAGCAGAAATAAAACAGATAACATGTTATTGTTGTACTGACTGCAAATAGCCATCTAAATATATCTCTTTACAAATAGAACATTTTAGGTAAAAATGTATTTCAGATCACATGAGACATGGTGCTTTTGAATTCTGTATTTTTATTTGACATATTTAGGACTTGCCTAAGACTATATGCATTGATTTTTATGATGCTACAAGGAATATCTCCTATAAAGTTAAACTAATATAGATAAAAACATAGTTTGAGTCTCAGACATTTGTTTATTCATTTTAAAAGCCACATTTTTTCTAGAATGATATGAATTCTTATTTTATCTACCAGTTATTAACTCAGATAATGACTATGCCTATTCATTGCCTGGCATTTTTCTGTTATGGTTTTTTGCTAATAAAGATTGTTTTAAACAATTCTGTTAATATAAATGAGGATATTTAAATAAATTATACAAGATGATTATATATTTGGAGCATTAATTCAACAAAAATCAGAAGAGTTTGTATTAGTTGCTAATTTATTATAATTTATTAATGTACCTAATTGCAGAAAAAAATCTGTCTTAGAATAATGCCGCTCAGTTTCTGTTACTGTATGACATTCAGTTATTTAATGTTTTGATTCTACTTCTTTCTCCAGTCACCTAATGAGTATTTGTAAAAACTCATGTCTTAAAAATACCTTATGCATTTCTATACATCTGAGAATACAGTGGTATAGTAATAAAAAAAACTGAAAACATAAATCAGCTACAATGCTTCTAAAAATTGCAAGTCTACAAATTAATGTTTCCATTACAGTGAAAAACATGTATGGAAACAGAGCCAAAAATCATTAAGGACTTACTCAGGATGAGTTTGTACATACTGTTTGTTTGCCAGACCATGGGTGACTGTGGTCAAACTGCTAGCTAGCATTGAAAGACATCTCAGCGCTGTGTAATTTCATTTAAGTGAGAAAACACAGAATTCAATAACTATGTTAGTTAAACACAATTTGAATCCAAATCTGATGTCTTACATCCCTATCGATAATTTGTGATGCCCCTGTAACATCCACTTGTTAACTAGACACTAGTTTCTTAAATTCTCAGGACAGTATGTACTGTGGGAGAGAGCATTACAGATGTTTCATCTCAGCTTTGTTCCACAAATGCTTCTTGGAATACCTAATGTAATTCCTCTGTTTAATTAGTTAATACACTTGCTTGTCATGTCACTGTTTTTGTATCTATAGAGAGCTCCTAGCATATTCTTCCCTGCAAATTTGCAGAAGGACAGTTGAACACCACTCCTAAGCTTGAAAGTTTAAAAAAAAAAAAAAACATAAAGTAATGCAGAAATCATTACATTTTCTTAACAACACTGGGCAGTTCTGTGTTTTTGTTTTGTTGGGGTTTTTTGTTTTTTGTTTTTGTTTGTTTGGGGTTTTTTGTTTTTGTTTTCCTTACCTAACTTGTAAAACACTCATGATCTAAATACAGTGGAAACAGTTCAAGAACACCCCCTCCAAAAAACAAACAAGAACAAAACAAAAGCAAAGGTGTTTACACATATCTGGCAACAAAGAACAGTGAAAATGCCATTGGTTCGGTAGTTAGGGATTTAAGTGTAGATAGAAGGGAAAGGCAAACAGAAGTCCAAGCCGGTGGCTGTTCTTTTAACCCCGCTTTGTGTTCAGCCACACGGGAAGACTCTTGGACCCCGGGAGTCTCCTGCCACCCCTTCCTTAGAATACTGATTATGTGGAAAATTTAAAGACCCTTCCTGAGGGGCAGATGTTTTCCAGCTGTCAGGACTGGATTTAGCTAATAGTAGAACTAATTTTAAACGGCATTGTTTCCGGATTAAAATATTTGTTCAGAAATTTGCCTTCCAGTCCATTCACAATACTAGTTAGTTGGTAATTTTATATTTTCTAAATGCCACTGTAAATACCCTTATACACTAGTAACAGATTTTGCACGCACTGTGGAGTAAGACTCACTAGTTTCCCTATGCAGAATTTTTAAAAGGCAGTTTCAATATTGTTTCAATATCACTTACTAAATTCTTGCTAGAAACATTGCCAAACTACCTGAGAATTTTACTGAGGATAAAAAGTCTGAATAATTCACTTACCCAGCACCGCTCCTAAAGAAATTCTGTGTGAAATAGTCTCAGGAGGGAATTTGATTGTCTGAGATTCCACAGGAGAGCCGTTTCCCCTAGACGAGGTGAAGAAGAGTCTAAGCCTTGCACTGTGGTCCTGCCGGCAGGATGAGTGAGCTCCAGACAGCGGAACCTAAGTCTAAGGCAGGGCTGGAGAGAGAGGGCTTGCTCTGGGTAGATGGGGAGTGTTGTCAGATTGTAAATGATCAGCCGCAGAAGGGAAACATCACCGCTTCCTGTTACATCACCCCGCCCCGCCTGCAGTTAGTGTTAGGTTACTTTCTTTCTCAAATAGTTTACCCCAGGAAAGGAGCAGCAACTCCCTTCTCACTCTGACAAGAGCAAGAAGCAGCCTGAACAGACAGAGATCCTTTGCTGTGTGAACACATTGTTACCAGTAAAAGCTGGCTGGCTTTCACGCAGACTGAGTTGTTAGAACTTGCTGACTGTGATGCGAAGGCAATCTGAGTGTAAAAGAATCAAAGGAGTTAGGGGTGGGTGTGTGTGTGTTGAACTAGAGTTCCCAGAACAAACAGGAACAATGTTATCTGTCACATCTTTCTTCTTAAATGTGCATGGAATTATGAGAATCACAATTACTTTAGGCTCAATAATTCGGAGCACTGATATGTGATCCAATTCCACAATCAATTTTGCTTTGGCCTATCCTTTCTAAAAATGCCTTTATGATATAATTATGTGTGTATGTATCACAAAGCCAACTTGTGTACAGAGTGTGAAAGTATTGCACATACTTTTAAATATTTGATGTAATTATGTCATTGTATATAACCTAAGCATTACATTATTTGTCTCAAAATAATGTTAAAGAAAATGTGGCTATTTTCTTTTTATTTCATATTAGTTGTTTATTAATATTTAAGTCATGAATAACTACTTACGATTTATAGTGTTTTCAGTTATTATTCAAAGATAACAGTAAACCTGTAAAATAGCATGTATTTTGGAGTATCAGTATTTATACCTGCCAGAAAATGTAGCTATTTTCAAACATGATACAATGCAATAATTTTATGTGGTAAATGAACTTTAATTTTTTTCTAAAAAAATTTATCTCTAAACATAATTGTACTACAAATACTTTAAGAAAGTATTGAGTGTGAGCAGGGAAAAATCTGTAAACCTGAAATATATTTGTTAGTTAGTTTTATGTAAAGTGATAAATTATGAGATTTGACAATAATCATAACTCCTAAACCCAGACAGTATGAAAAATCACATGAACTTTGCATCAAATTTCTCCCGAACAAAGAGAAAAGATTGATGAAATAATATCTGGAATTCTTTATGCCTTTTAAACTCTGGGTCAACATATTTTATGACATTTAGAAAGTGGTAAACTACTCTAATGAGCAAGGAAATCTCCCTGAATTAAGCTCAGAGGCACAGGACTAACAGGTAAGCTACTGCAACTAGGTAGCAAACTGAGGAGCCCAGAGCCCCTGCAGATTAGTAAGGGAAGTAAAGACACAAGCTACAGAATCTAAGAATATCGTGTTTCTGAAAGACTGTGGTCTTTTTTAAACTTTTACTGTCTTCATCTGTGTAAGAAATTTATTACAGAATCTTTGATTTTATTTATGTATATATAACAGGATATATACGTATAAAAATAAGAGACATGATTGACAATCTCAATCAATCACCGATAAAGGAAAAGCTATGTAACAAACTGAAATGACACAGTGTAACCTTAGGAGATGGAGAATAAGCAAATGGGTAAATTGGGAAGTCACTTTGTATAGAATTTTAGTTTTGCTTTCTTTAGGGAACTATTGAATTTTTTTGCGTGCTGTTTCCTCCAGCTCTTGGGAAGAAAAGCCAATGCTGTAAATTACCACTGCCTCCTTAAATAATAACTCATTAATCATAAAAACAGCAGAGACATGCTTTGGTGACAACTGCGGAGTTCTGATGTGGAGTCACACGATGCACAGGGAGCCACAAACACTCAAAATAGCTCTGTTTTAGGAAATAAAGAACAAATAAGAAGTGTCTTCTGTTTGGACCATGTAAAAGACAATTGAAAGCATGTAAGAAATTACATTATCTATAATTAGCAGCTAATGCTGCCAGTACCCCCACATAGAGCATAAGCCATGCACAGTGCTAATAGTCCACTTTTCTGTAAAGTGAGGAAAGATGCACAGATGAAAGCCATTTTGAGGAACAGTCACATTTGTCCACTTCAAAATTTCACTGCAGGACTTATGCCCTGCATTTTGGTCCTTTATGGGGCACAAAAGTGCTAACGTCTCTAAATAAGGCTATGGCCTCCCCTACAAAATGGCCCTTGCCTCATAAGGCAATTAATCAGGAAGATGCTAAATCCAAGTCTTAGATCCACAAGTTAGACAAACTAGATGAAAATAATGTGTGACAAATTTAGGTTTCTGCTGTCTAAACTGACCACTTGAGTTTCTGTAGCCATTGCCTTGAAATATGGGTCTTTAAAAACAACCAAAACAGAACATTTTTACATGGAACATGTTATAGATAGACCATTCCCAGTGAAAATGCAAGGGTGGTCAAAGACAGCATTTAAAAATAAGCTTATGAGGGCTGGAGATACAGCTCAGCCGTTAAAGACTAGGCTCACAACCCAAAAATAAGCTTGTGAATGCCTATCATTCTAAACTAGCCATTTTTTGTGTTTTTATGATGTAAAATATCTTCAAATAATTGATGTAATTAAAAGACTAATGTATTCCATCACTTATAAGAATTCAGTTTTTGAGAAATGCATGTCTTATACCCTTACATCAAAAAAAAATTCATTAAGGAAACAAGTTGACCACATAGTGTACTGCTTTACCTAACAACTGCTGTTAGGACTTTTTCCAAAGCAAAGAATAATTAATTGCATTTGGTAAAACAATTTCTACCCAATGCCATGTCTACTGAGAGTGACTATGCTATTTCTAAAACTAAAGGACCAACTTTCATTGTACTTGTACACATTATTTATTTAAGGTAAGTAATAATGTTTAAATAAAATTTACTATGCATAAGATTTATACAAGTGCAAAAATGGAATTTAAAGTGAGCAGCCATCTGCACAACAACAAAGTGATCTCATGAGCCTGAGGTACTTCCTACAGGATTTCAGTACAGTTACATCAGAATCAACCATTTACCTCTTTACAAAGCCTCATTCTTGATATGTCTTGGTGGATTGAACATCTGTGGACGTTGTATTGTCTGGCTGGTGGTGTTCATGAGAGTCGACTGGAAGAAGAAAGGGTTAGTACTGGCAAATGAGGCATGAAATAGAGGTAGAATGAATCTTAGATCTGAAAAGCTTAGAAATTCCTGGTTTATTTTAGTAAGGTGAAGTGATCTCGCTGACTCTAAGTGCTCTTGGATGGAGTGATCTTATTTCTCTCTTCTGAGGGCCTTGCCCCTTTCATGCTCAGTAATGCTCCTGTTTGAGTGAAAAACTGTATTTTGTCACTCTTGTTCGTGAATCTATCAGTATGGACAAGTAATAAAGAACAAAAGTTAACGTGTGAGCGGTTCATTTGAGGCATGAAGATCTCCTTTCCCAGAAAGGTTTAAAATAATTCTTTCTATTTCTGGAACAGAGTTAGACGTTGATGCTTTCTCATCTCATGATATCAATTTATATTGGATATGTTGTGAGATGCTTCCTATTTTTGAATACTAATCTTAATTGTGAAAACAAAGTTAATTTAAATTTGCATTTGACATCTTGACCCATTGGTTATTTTTTAAGTGAACAATTCTATATTTGCAAACAAATTAATCATTAAATTCAAAGATGACAGATGGTTTTAATGTTTTCTAATACTAGAAGACAATATATTATTTTTGTATAGTGCATATTATATTATTATATATTATGTTATTCAATTATTGTCATTACTATAACTTGTAAAAGGTTTTAGCAATTTGTAATTTATTCTATTTTCTTCAAATTTTCATTCATCTTATTTACCACAACCATATTCTCTAGAATATAAGTATTCACAAACATAAAGGGTTTTGTGATGCACAGAATGAATAATTTAAAGAGTAACATGTTGTACTTTGAAAAAGAACTCTGGAGACCTGTGAAAAGGATGGAATTTTTGACAGTTGAGGAATTGAGTATCTGTAGTCCCATCCTGCCACCTAGTGTTCTCAAATTATAAAGTGTGGCTTGTTGGCAGGAATAAAAGTAAAACCCTCTCCCCTTTTTACTAATGAAACAAATCTCAACAACTGAAAAAGGTAAGTCCTCCCTGGCCTTTACACACACACACACACACACACATCAATGCTCTAAAGTCAATGACTGGGTCAATATAGATGGACTACTAAACAGCTGATCAGGAATATAAATCGAATTTCCAACAACTCCTAACATAATAGTAAATGCCTCTCACATTTTGATAAGCAAGCTTCTTTTAAGTTTGGAAAGAATTTGTTCAAAATTATCTGTACAAAATTTTAATCATTAGTAGGCTATAATATTGCTTCAACTTAATATTTAGCTGACCTTTTACAAAACCATATTTTGTACATGCTCATTATCTCCAAGACTTAGGTCCTCAAACTTTTCATCACCAGAAGTTTCTGAATAGTCATCCACTGAGCACAAACCAATTGATCATCTACCATATTAAACATTCAGATAGCAACTAGAATACAAAATTTGTCAATAGGAGATTCTCTGTTCTTGAGATTTTGCTGTAAACATTCTTATTGTTTAAAACTTTTGAAATTTTTATACATATACACCATTTAAATGATCATATCCATCTCACTCCATCCCCCCAATATCCCAACACATCTTGATCCTCATAACTTCATGTCTCCCTCCCCTTTCTCTCTCTCTTTTAATAACTTACTAGGTCTAAAAAGTGTTGCTCATATGCACGTGTGTGTAAGGGACATCCTTTAGGTGCATCAGCTAGGGGTGGGGACTGTGATCTTTTCCCTTTTCCAAGCTGGAATGTTTAACTGGCTTGATCCTGTGCAGGTAACTACAGCTGTTGTGAGCAGAGGATAGCATTTCATGGTGCTTCTCTGATCCTCTAACTTACAACGTTTTTTCCACCCCTCTTCCTTGATGATTCCTGAGCTTTGACCAGTAGGAAGGTGAGGCTTTTGATATATGTGGGGAGAGGATGAATTCCTGATTGATGTGTGTTGTTGACATGAACATGGCAAGGTCAAAGACCCCAATGCTTCAGGCCTAGGGGGATAGCAAAGCTTTCCCCTGGCCTGTGTGTACAAAGTCTGAGGGAATATTGAAAAACTAGTTCAATATCTAGTCATCATCTTCCTAGGGTCCAATAACTGATCACTTCCAAAGAGCACTATAGAGCTTCTATTTGTCTGGGAATCAAAATGGCTCAAAAATTTGAGAAAAATGGAGCATTATATCCACATATACTGGAAATCAGAGCCTCCAAGTTTAGTAAATATTATTCCTGAACCATGGACCTTTCTTGAATTTTTTATTTAGTTATGAAAAAACATATGAAAAGAATTTGACACAGTATACAATTCCCAACTAATTTCTGCATTTTGTCTTTTTATATTTACTGTAAAACTAAGGATGTTGGTCTATGTTGAGCCAAAGAGGCAATGGGGAGCATTTAGGCACTAATCTTCACTTTAATAGAATGATTTTAAAATTTGATTCCTAAATTTCATATTACTTATGATTTTGTTACATATGTATTATCAGATTAGCTAATCACTATCTTGCTGCAAGATTATTCAGATAAAAAGGTTGAATTTCATAAAATTCATTCATTTGTTAAAATTGATGCTTAAACTTTGTTTTTTATTTTTTTACTATATTAAGTAATGATTAAATGTGAACTATTATTTAGTAAAAAAAAAAATACCTCCTCCTCACTTTTCACTCACCTTCTTGTCCACCTCTCCCTCTCCTCCCTGTTACTCTTCATAAAATGAATTCCTATGAACCACTCTGCCCCAGCCCTCTTTATTCAGCGTTCTGAGTAATGCTATCTAAGAAACTACCAGTGTGATTGGAATAATCCAAGGGCTGCTCCTGAAGGACTGATACAGTGGGGAACTTTATGTTGCACAGAGAATGCAGGAAACATAACCATGGCCTCTGTGTTCAAGTCAAAGAGCCTAAGAAAGAATGGGATACCCAAAGACCATGAGAACAAATGAATGCCAACTTCATACAAAATACGATAAAGTTAAAAACTGCTGTTAGGAAATCAACACCCCCAAAATAAATAATTGACTAATTTTGCAGCATTTTCTCCTTTCTTCTGGTGTGGAGATGGACCCTGTGTACTAAAATAGTTTGAACTGGAAGCATTGGTATATAATGTGTAGTTATATTTTTTTTATTTAATAATATGTTTTGCTTTATACAATAACTGATGCAATTGTTGATGGAAATACAAATATAGAAAGCTGACATAGGCTTTTTCAAAGTTTTTTTTTTAATTTATGTATACATATGTATTTGGGGGCGGGGATGCCTGTGGAGACCGGAAGAGGACATCAGAGCACCTGGAGCTGGAGTTGCAGATGGCTGTTAGCCAGCCACCCAACACCCAAGTAATGAAAAATGAATTCATTCATGTCTTGTGGGAAAGCAGTACCTACTCATTCATGTCTTCTTCCATGGATCTTTAAGGCATTGTGTACTACTTTCTTTGACAAATAAGAAATCATAATGTACGACTACACTTTTATAACTTAAAGAGATTGTCAACAAGTTCTAAATAGGGAAGCAAATGCAGAGCGAAGCAGGGACAGTGATTTTTATTTGTTTTTACAACTCTGTACCTTTATGATAAGTAGCAAGACGTTCTCTAGTAAACATCAGTGTAACAGTCAAGTTTATTGTTCAAGGTAGAATATTTTATTTCTTACATTGTTAAAAATAAAATTGAGAAGGTTTAGATTATCAAGAGTACATAATGTTCATGATCATAACAAAAGAAAATATATCTTCTAGTAGATGTTCGCCAATGGAAATGAGAAGATTGGTTCATGTGGTTAGTAGTAAGAGAACTTGTAATTAAACAGAAAATAGTTTGAAAGGGACTGAGATAAAATTCACAGTAGCCAGGTAATTAATTATAGCTTTAAAAAAGTACATTGGCTAGATTAGAAAAGAAACAATGAAAACACATTCTTAGCAGACACAATGGCCTGGAAAATTAACTATTAATATAGTCATTAAAATTATTGTAATAGAAGAATAGACATCATAGTAAAACTACCTTATGAAATATTTAGTGAAATTAATGTAACAATAATGTGTTTATATCTTAACACTAATTAAATGCTTCATAGACTACTTTCACAGAAGGCTCCTTTCTTCTTTGGGTTTTAATTGTTCTTTCTTTTGATATTCTTTTGAGGAAACCTACAATAAGAACAATAAATGATAAGATAATAGTGAAAAGAGAACACATAGGAATTTATCTCAAATTTTCTGTCTTTCATTTGTCTCTGTATTTTTGTAAAATAATCTATTTTTAAGAAAGTTGCCAGGTGTTGGTGGCGCACGCCTTTAATCCCAGCACTCGGGAGGCAGAGGCAGGCGGATCCTCTGTGAGTTCAAGGCCAGCCTGGTCTCCAGAGCGAGTGCCAGGATAGGCTCCAAAGCTACACAGAGAAACCCTGTCTTGAAACACCAAAAGAAAAAAAGAAAAAAAAGAAAAGAAAGTCATTTTGCATGTATGAAAGTCACTAAAACTGGGTGAGTATATCATCATTCCATTAAAAAATACATGCTTAATTTTATAAAAGGGTAGATACGTGATAAATGTGTGGTTACTAGAGTAACAGATTTTTTAATTTAATGTCTATGTTCTTAGTATTCTTTGTGTTCTTTGTATTATATCATTATTATATTCAGGAGAAAAGTAATCACAATGTTAAAGTTTTTGGTGTATTAAAAGAACTTGCAAAAAATTTTAATGTATTTCTTAAAAATAAATTCTTAGCTCTTAAACATTCAAGAAAGAAAATTGGGGCTGAGAGATGGCTCAGCAATTAAGTGTGCACTGCTCTTGCGTAGGACTGACTTCAACTCCCAACACTCACTTTAGTCAGCCCATAAACACCTGCAACTGCACTTCCAGTGGATCTGATACCCTATTTAGACTAGGAAAACACCTGCACATACACATGGCATACCCATATCCAGATGTGCATGCACACACACACACACACACACACACACACACACACACACATAAATTAAAAATCTTTTAAAAAGAAAAAAATTAAGATTGTGAATCTATTTGCAATTGATAATTGTTCTGTAATACATATGAAGAACAATTACAGCTAGCATATCTACTAGTATTATATAAGTTTGGTTGGTGGTGGGAGGACAAACATTGACTAAGACATTATGTTACTTCTTATAAGTAAAGAAACATTTGTTATTTCATAAGTTAAAGTATTTTATGATTCCAATATAATTATCATTTCAAATATTAGTGATTTAATGAGAAGTGTATCTTTCATACCTCTTTTACACGCCCTAACACAGTCTTTTTTGGTAGTAAAATTATTATGATTTCCCCCACATCCAGTGTACTTAAATTGGCGGCATTTCCCAATGGTTGAATTGTAGTAGAATCTTTTCTCATTGGCTTGACACATTCCACTGTCTGCTGGACTAAGACACCATGAAGGGCCATGATATTCTATAAATAAATAAATAAATAAATAAATAAATAAATAAATAAATAAAAAACCCAGAAAATTTTGTAAGCTCTATGCATGGTGAATCTGAGCCTTCTTGTTATGTATTCCTTGCATATTAGTTTGATGTCATGTCTTCTGAATAAAGCAGAATCCTGTGAAGACTAATACACAAGAAAGTCCTAGAGTTTCAATTCCCAGAATATGCTTAAACAAATTGAAATGTCCATAATACCATGTTCTTTCTCCAATGAACAAAACAGAGCACATTTGATAAAAGGAAAGTTTATGGTTAGTGTTTATATGAACAAATTAGTTATACACAATCAAACCAAGTCCTACTCAACAACTTCTGAAACTTCAACAATATATTTACAAAAACATATAAATTAGTATATATGAAATAAATGTCCCATATTCCCATAGTAAAGTAAGTCACCGGTTTGAAATAGATAGCTTAGTCTGTCAACAGGACCAACAAATACCCAAAAACCAAGACCATACAACTAGGATAATAATGACAACAGTGATAACAATAACTCTAATGTGAAAAGTAGTTGGAGCTTAGTAAATCTTTTTTATTTCTTCGGTGATTTCTCTCAGGAAGGACAAGCTGGTACTTCTCACTGTCCAGCTAAGTCTGATGGTCGTAAATGAAGACTGCAAGTAAGGTGTTGATGGTAATGAACTATGAAGGAAAACTTCAGTGTCTTCAGCAGGTGGTAAGATATCATACAGCACACGCAGAGGAAGCCCGGATAAATGTTCATGGGCAGAAAATACGACTTTGAAGAATCTAGTGCCCAGCAAAGGCAAGCAGGTTGTGCAGAAAGCAAGCAGCAGTCTTTCAGCATGTAAACCCTAAATGGAAAAAGACTGTAAAAGAAGATAACTAAAGTGAACAACACATAAGAAACGTCTTCATTTGATAAATACATTTTTGTCATCTCCTGCCTTCTAGATAGATTAATAGAAATCAGAATGTCCTGACATACTGAGTGAGAGCTTGGGAGATTAGAGGCACTGAGGATGATGGACTAATATTTAAGAAAAATTTATAAAAGCAATGTACAAATGTAAGGTTTGTACTCACATAAAGAATATTTAGTTTCATTTAGATCATTGGCTAAATACGTAAACACTGCTTTTGAATGATACCCTTAAGATCTCTAAAGCAGTGTTCATCCAGTGTCTAGGCTTATTTTATATTCTGCTACTCTGCATCCTTGAATATGAATGTGCCCCATCATAAACCAAAGTTAAGATCATGTGATGGGAATGGGTTCTAAAGGTTCCACCACATGCCAGCACTTTCTGTCATGAATAGTTTAAGGAGACATGTTGCAGTTAGGTCCTCCTATTGTCCAGTTACTCCAGTGGGTATCCTGTGTTTTTTCATTCCTCCCCAGTTTAGATTTGAATAGCTAGCAACTGCACCTCCTTTGTCTCCTCAGCTTCCAAAGTCACCATCCGGGTTCAGAAACAAAAGTGACGGACCAGAAGCAATTGAATGGAATTTGTTACTTGTTTTGTGTTTTTTCCCAGCGAGCACCACATATATTTCATAACAAAGTGTATATAGAAGGTAAGTAATGTATACATCACTTTAGTGTTTTCTATACAAGATGTGTCAGTCCATAGTAAGTTGCAGATAATGCAAGTTAATGTATCGATATCTATAACTGTGCCTTTCTTTACATATTAATTATTATGTATTTTAATAGCAATGCCCACCCTAAGGCCCCTTATGTCAGGACAGAGAAATTTTCATTCTCTGAGAGCATCTCCTTCTCCACTTACCATATAACCGCATGAAAGTTTAGCATCATAATTGAAATTGAACATACTTCTAAGAAAAGAAAAGCTAATTTGGCTACTGGCCCTCGACTGGAGGTAAGAAGGAAGAATGTTGCCAGAAACCAAAAGCCTACATCACAGGTTAAAACTAGAACCAGAAGAACCAGAACAGGCATTTCTAGGGGAATGTAAATCATGGGGTGTATGCCATAGGTATAATGGACACATAGGCTCTAACCTCTGTTTTCCTTAGACTATCTATTCCTATTCACTAATGGCCAGTGGAAACGGGTTTCATGCAGCTCCGGGCAGCAGAAGGCAGGAGTCGTATGAAAGCAGGCAGTTAAGAACACAGTTAACCCACCAGGTGGTGGTGGCACATGCCTTTAATCCCAGCACTTGGGAGGCAGGAGCAGGAAGATCTCTGTGAGTTCAAGGCCAGCCTGGTCTACAGAGTGGGTGCCAGGATAGCCTCCAAAGCTACACAGAGAAACCATGTCTTGACAAACAAAAATAAAAAAGAAGCCACCCCCATGCTCATGGGTGTGCTTTATTAAAAAAAAAAAAAAAAAAAGAACACAGTTAAGAAAAGGCTTCATTGACAATTTAAACATCCAAGACTTCACATTTCTGCCACCTGTACACAGTGACTTCTGCCTAAGTGTCTAGCATAGCTCTGAGAGCTGAGGTCAGCATGCAGATGCACACCACACACCTCCTGTTATCACACACACTCACTCGGTCCCCTTGGAGGTATCTTCCCAAGAATGAACGGTGGCATCTGTTTCCTTGTCTCATTTTGTTAGTCCTGATACCAGATCTGCACAGATCCAACACAACATACCTTTGACCACATCAGCAATCATGGTTCTAATACTAGAAAGGATGCTATTTTCAGAGTGGAGTATAATTTGAAATTTATCACTAAGTATTCAGTACTATACATAGTAAAGTATTAAAATATACAAAACAATTTTCAATTTGGGAGTCTTTTTATAAGGTACTTGTTTTCCAAGAACATGAATTACAGACAATGTTGAAGTGGACTCCTTGTTTTTAAGATTATGTTAATGCCGACTACCACTTAATTATTTTAATATAAATGATAGGTAAAGTAAAGCAGTTTCTGAAGAGTGTTTGGAGTCCTTGACTAGCATCTAACTAAATTTCCACAAGTGAGAAAATAGAATATGTTTGTATCTCATGAAAAGATAAGTTTGCCTATGTTCAGTTAACAAAGTTATTCTAAACATAGGTAGACACCTATTTAAATAGACATTGATAGCGACAATAAAAGAAAATACATTTTGAAGTAGTTGCATAGTGTGATTTCTTTGGTCTAGATTATGATTAGTGACAGAAATTTAGGATAGATAAAAAAAGACACTAACCTGGCTGGTTTCTGCTCATGCTCCAAAGGGACTTTAATAGCCAAATGCATTCTCTCTTGATCCCGCCATTAATAATAACTTGACTGGATTCCATCTGGAGGGCTTTTTGATAGGTTTCATGGTATACCATCTCCCTTTCCTTTTTTGTTAGAAAACATTACTATCTAGTGTGACTACTAAAGTACAAGGTGGTGGCAGGGTCCATTTTTCAAGTAACATGTTTAATGTAAATTGACTTTGAAATTCATACAGTAAACTTGGGACTTAATGCACTGAAACATTATTGAAATGTTTTATTCCCACAATACTTCCCTGTGTAGGTTCTCATGGTATCAATAAAATTAGTATTTGTGAACCACTTCATGACCTGTGAACTTGTTTCCTTCTGGGATTGGGGGAAGGGGGTTGAATAACAAGTCATTCCATTTTTTCCTATAAGTTGTAGTAAAGAGAAACATAATTTCATTACAATTTTAATAAAAATTTAAATAATACCAAAACAAAAAATATGAGATAAAATATCTACATAATTCCCTCCCCATATTAAATTACTATCAATGATTTTGTAAATGTTTTTCTCAAAATCATTTGTATATACAAATATATATTCATGTACTACTCTACATATTATTACTATTCTGAATAACATGAATATAGACTTATATTTTATACAATTATATGTCCTTTTAAATATGTGCATAATTGTTAATCAGTTCTACTAAACATAACTTGCATGGAATCTGTCTTTGTCTTTATGATGAGCTATTTTATACACTACTAATAAGGAAAACCTGATCGTATAATTGTATACTATCAGTGATAGGCTTTATCATGATTACAACCATATTAAGATGTTGAAAACTGTGTAACTTAAAATTAGCAAAATATGCTAACTTGTATTATATGCCAAAATACCAAATTCATGAATGCATGCATATAGAACCACATAAATAAAGGTGAAAATTATATGTTTTTCATTCATTGGGCAAAGTGCTGAGAGTCTATGTGATAAGTGACTACTATAAATATAGTTTTATCAGGTTGTAAGCTCAGAAGTTTGCTAGGCTAAAGTTCTACAGAAAAAAATGTTTTGTGTTGAGCTTATTATATGCTTTTGAACTCCTCCAGCAGATACTTACTGTCTTTCAATTTGCTCCATGATGAATTTTTTTGTTTTGTTTTGTTTTTTGAGAGAAGGTTTTTCTGTGTAGCTTTGGAGCCTGTCCTAGAACTCACTCTGTAAACCAGGCTGGCCTCAAACTCACAGAGATCCACCTGCCTCTGCCTCCCAAGTACTGGGACTAAAGGCGTGTACCACCACTGCTTAGCTATGATGAATTTTTTGCAAATTAAAGACAATTTATTGACAAATGAACAAGAATTTTTTTCTTCTGTATGATATGACTATGGTCAAATTTTAATTCTAATGCTCAAGTTACACAATAAAAATATTTGACTAGAGTTAATTCAGTTCCCTACAGTGATAAATAAAATGCTACAGACTGGAACCTACTCTTGTTGGTAATGGACAATAAATCCACCATCTCCCCTGCTTTACAGAAAACACACATCCATTCACTAGAAGGGTAGTCACTAAACCCATAGAAACTGATACTTCAACCAACATTGAAAAGCAGGCAAGGACTGCTAAGCAATTCCTTGGAGAATTAGTTCTCTTTCCCTGCATATATTGGCCACTTAGTAGAGGGTAAAATTTAGAGGCTGTGCAGCCAGGAAATTTGAGATGGAAAAGTCATAGAAAGAGACTGTAAGAAATCTTTCCTGGACAGGAAAGCCTACACAGATTAAAAAGGAAAGAGAGAAACTAAGTAGGTATTTGTTTGCTTTTGTCTAGAGGTTGACTAAACCATACTCAGAGTTCTTTAAGGTATTTATACTCAAGAATTTTTCTCAACAATCCATAAAGCAAAAAGGCTTTAGACAATGACAATTGTGAAATTTTCATGAACATATTTTTTCAATTAACTGTTTTACCAGGAAATAAATGTTTGGGAAAAATATACTTACAATCAGAAAGAACCATTTTCATCTTCAAATACTGTGCTGAGGGGCTGGAGAGATGGCTCAGCAATTAAGAACACCTGCTGCTCTTGCAGAGGGCCCACATGGCCATTTATCTGTAATTCCTTTCCAGGAACTGATACTGGCTGCCTCAGGCAATGTACACGTGAGATGCACAGGAATACATTCATGCCAAACTCCCATACATATACAATAAAAACAAATTTAAAAATACTGTCTTGAGAACCCTGTATAGGAAAGGCTATAAATAAAGGTGTATCACAGATCTTTGGCTGTTCAGCCAATCACTTATAGTCTTCTGTTTATTTAATATAATGGTTAGCTTTAATAGAAGAATGGGATTTTAGCAACCAGAGAAACAGTAGAATATGGGCAAGAACACAAAAAAAATGAGAGTATTCCCAGTTTATCTGGAGGAGTATTTTAGAAAGTCTAGACTAGTAAAAAACAGAACAAAACAAGCAGAAGGGTAGAGTGTAAAACTAGAAAAGCAGATTTAGGATGTACACAGAGAACTATAGGCAACTGAGGAAATCCAGAAGTGAGAAAGCTGGTCTTTCCCAGAGAAGACTCAGCTTACCCTGGGATCTACATCACCGGCACTTTAAATTTCAACTTATCCTGCCAAATTGCCTGTAAGGTCTCATCACAAAAGCCTTCTCCTGCCTGACAATTACATCTCTAAAGAACAAAGCCACACACTCATATTTCCATTCTTCCATTTCCAGGTTCTATTACAATTACCAACAGCCAGGTGGTCAAAAATGTAAGTTTCACTTAAATTAGAAAGCACACAAACCCACACTTCATATCATAAAGGTGAATAGACAGGTGTTTGATGCCTCCAATGATCACAAATAAAATTCAGAGACACAAAAGATGAAATTTTGTTTAATTAATTATGCTTGGAGTTTATAAGCATTGTGTATTAATTCAGATAATTATAAAGAATTAATATTATTCAATTCAAGGTTACAACTTTAATTGTATTAAAACTATAATCAAATATGCATTAACAATACCTTTGAGCTACTTCTTTAATGTCTATATATCTTAGGTGAATCTGGGTCAGTGTCATCACCACCAAAATTGTCTTTAAATCAATATTCTCATTAATGACAACACGGATAAAGAGTTTTACATGCTATTACAGGATTTTAAATACTGTATGACATACTGCATTCCACAGGAGGCAAAGAGAGAACTGGAGACTGAGAGAAACTGCATGCTTTTTTTCAAGGGTACAAAACAAGTCCAGAAACTAAAGACCTGGAATTAAACTTGAATTCCATTCATAAAGCCAATGTTCTAGCCAACCATGAGACATCACTCTAAAGCTAAGCAGAAAATACTTCTAGACTTACTGGGCAAGTACTTCAATAATTTTATCAGATAAAGTTGGTGACACTTCATTATTTATATTCTCCAAATCCCTTCTCCCCATCAATCTCCAATCAAAACCATCTAAATGTGCCTCATGCACTGTTACATGGATGAATTGGTGTTCAAGTCTGAACAGAAGAAAGGTGCCTAATTGAAACAGAAAACCAAAAAGGAGGCTGGAAACCAGCCTTGGGGGCAACAGTGGTGAGCCAAATAGCTCTCCAACATCTGAAGGCAGGAATCATTAGGTTGGCATGTTCAGCCTGGCCTCGTTCTAGAAATCACAAAACACAGCCCAAGTCTTTATGTCTCTGTGATCAGATGCATGCCAGTTAGTAAGCTCCAGGCATTCGTACAATTGAAAACTGGGAACACGGCCCTGTGGTATTGTGAGAGGTAGATGTGAGGGCTCTTTAGTGGGTGCTTCTCACTTCGTTTCTGCAGAGATCATCCAATCTTTAAAGATAAAAATGACACTCGGAGAATTAAGACTTAGAGTAGCACAGATTTTCCTAAACTAACCCCTAGTTTCCTAGTCTATCTTTTTGTTGTCAATACAAAATTTGTATTTCAAATGGATTTTTCCTTCTGTTTTAAGAAAAAGGAATCTTAACAAATTAATAGTAATAGTAGTTTGGTCTGTGTTAATATGCAACTAAGTTTCTGTTGTAGCTTTATAATTGTCACAAACTTAAATTTCTATTATTTTATTCGGTACAAATGTCATTTAAACTTATCTGGTTGACACAGTAAAGATGTCCACTTCATCTCTTGTAAACGTATCTGTTGACATTTGAGAAATATTTCTCTGGAGGGCTCTGTTGTCTGGGACAACCATTATCTTTGATTAAACTCAAAATTGTCTGTGAAGAGATTTGCCAGGTAGGTAGAGTGACAGCTGCAATTTTGGCAGAGGCAGTGCCACATTTTTGTTTCTTGCCAGCACTCCTGCCAGGAAGTAGAAGGCCTGATGTGAGCTCTGCTAAAGCTGTCTATTTATGGAAAGCCAGCTTGCCAGGGTGTCAGTACAAGCTACCAGATTTACTATGCAGGAACGAGTAGGACAAGACACATTCTGTACTTCTCAGTGAGAATACATCTGAAGGCCACCGTACTTGCTTCAAATTGTGTGTGCTCGCCGATGAAATGAGGTTTACAGCACTGTCCATGGCACTCATGATGTGGGGTACGCATTTAAATGTGTAACTCCTTAGTTGGTAAGGGGATATTTTCTTCCCAGAAAATTTACATGATTTCAATATTCCTCTGCATACAATCACTATCTTCCAAGAGAACACAGAGCTAATATTCTATTGCAGTGGTGACATTTAATTATTGAATAGCTTCTCTGTCAACATTATTCCTCTTCAGAAGGCCAATGATAATAATATATATACACACACATATATGTATTATTTTTCCACCATTTTCAGTGTATGTAAAGTTTGGCCCTAGGTCATGTGTTAGATAGAGTCAGGAGAGAGTTTCAAGTGGCCACAGGGTCTTCTTTTTTACATCTAGTCATTCTCCCTGGACCTGATGGCGGGCATAAAGCAGTATGGCCTTGGATCAGTACTTAGGTGCTCACTTCTCATTCAGAGACAAAGTGCTGGAGATTGAGTTAGCAGTAGTCTTTTGAAGTCTAACCAAAGATGAGTTTTTTCAAAATATCATAAAGGTGATGTAGTCCCAAGGCAACTGTTAAGAGATGATGTATAGAAGCAAAGTCGGCTATGAGAATTTGGAAAATAATTTATTTTTTTTCCAAGAAAAGTCAAGTCTACCCCCAAAGACTCAGAACCAATATGATTTCCTAGTTATAAGTTTACCAGTTATACATAGTAAAAGACTATGCTAACTATGAATGTTAATATTAAAACTTTATTAATTATGAGTATAAAAACATCAAGTATACTATCTAAATATTAAGTAAACCCAAAGGTAACACATAATAGGATATACATAGAATGCTATCCAACCCTAAAGATAAAAAACGTGAGTACATGAATGTAGAAGACATTCAGAAAGACGTGGAAAGTATAATCAGCTTTCTTCCAACCACCATTTGTTCCTTCTTTTGTAACTGTGAATCACAAAATTAATAAATAAAACATGTAAGTCATCTGTTGTATGCTTAACATTGAGATAAATGCTGGAACAGAGACAAACCATAAATGGTCATACTCAAAACCTTGTAGCATAGTAACTTAAGCAAAGTAAACACATCAAATGATAGCCATGTTAAATGAATCTGATTGGGTAGCCAGAGTAAAGGCAGAGAAAGGAGGCTTCTACACAGAGTGAATCCATAGGCAAGAAGATGAGCAGGCCAGTGAATACCAGTTGAGAAAAAAATGCATAGGATAGTCTGTGGAATGAATATGGATAACTTGTGATTAAGAATAACGTCAACGGACAGAAAGTCTTACATTTAAAAGCTAGTTTTTAAAAATATGACATAGGTAAAAAGCAAACAGAAAATGTTGACAAATTCAAACTAAGTAATGAGGCTAAATTAAATCAAGCAAAGAATAGCCAGGCAGTGGTGGCCCACACCTTTAATTCCAGTACTCAGAAGGCAGAGGCAGGGGGATCTCTGGGAGTTCAAGACCAGCCTGGTCTACAAGAGCCAGTTCCAGGACAGTCTCCAAAGCCACAGAGAAACCCTTTCTTGAAAAAACAAAAAACAATCAAACAAACAAACAAAAACAAAAAAACAAGCAAAGAACACATCTACATGTTACATACATAGAAGCCCTACTTCAAAGCACATCTTAAAAAAGATTAAGAAAAATGATTGCTTTTATGAGATTAGGTGCCTTAAACACATCAAATATCTCTATTTTAACATAACCTCAAATAATAAAATCATTATTTTTAAAAAGATAATTCTAACACACATCCACTTCTATTGTTTTCATAATATATTCATCAAATAATAATAAAAATAAGATTCTTACCCCAACGGCTGGGTGTTTTGGTAGACTGGGGGATCAAAGTGTTATTTGCAGTATTGAGATCAGGTGTATAGTTGTCTGTCTGTAATTCATTCCCTGGGGAAGAAACAACGTAAGCAATTACAATCTGAAAGCACAACAGAACCTCCTATCTCTGCATACAAGCAAATGTAACAGTTGGCTTAAGAACAGCAGACTTGTTGCAATTTAGTCCTCCTGCTGTTCTAAATTAGCAAACAAGGAAGTTTAAATACATATGTAAATTGAGATTTCCATTAGTAATTTTGTAGCTAGTGACCAAAATCCTGCAACTGTTCATGCATAAGGTTTCCTTTTCTTGTTTTTTATGAGTTAATTATTAACCCTCATATTGCATAAGAATAAAAGATTTTAGCAGTCCTACCCTCTTGCTGAATGTATATTGCAGTACTGGAAAGTTAACTACTATATCTGAGAACATTAGGGGATTTAGGGTAACTGTAGAGATGTGCTGATTATCTGTATTTATTATTTTATCAGGACGGGGAATCTCTTTCAGACCTAGTTTCTGTTTGTGCAGCTTAAACAGAATCTGAGTACATACTCAAGGACTCTTCATCTGAAATGATCCCTGTAAAGGGACCCAAGTGACATAAGAAACAAACTCACCGGTATCCTCACAGATGCTCTTGCATTCATCCAAAGTCTCAAAGTTGTTGCGGTTGCCTAGGCACCCACCATACTTGAATTGCTCACACTGCTTTGACTGGTTATTATAAAAATATCTAGTAATGAGGCCTCGGCAGATCCCAGGGTCCTCTTCCAAGAAGCAGAAATCTGGCTTTTCTACAAATGGCAAGACACATCAGAAAGAGATATTCTTCTTTTGTTATTACCACTTAATTATTTTCATGAAATTTATAATGAACTTATTTAGAAGATAAATTTAAAACCAATTTTAAAAGTTTAAAGGCTAAACCAGAAGATAATTGTTACCTCATTAAAAATAAATAAAATAATTTTATTAAAAACTGAACCATTATCTAACCATTTGGGTACATGGAATAATGAACATGAAACTATGTCTTATATTTTTTTATCTGGTATTTCAGTTCTAAGTTTCTTATATTAGATTACAGGGAATTGTGATCAACATTTTTATGAGCCAATAAAATAAAGGATAGTGGGTTATTTGATATATGCTGACCTTGTTTTAGAAGTACAAAATATTATGGCAATATTTTTTTTGCCATATATTTATTTATGGCTTTAATTATTTCTATTAAGCTTAATGCACTGGTATTAAAGAAAGGTCTACTGAAGTGTTGAGAATCTCTAGGGAAGGAGTGCTGTGTTAGTTCATTAAGAATGCTACAGAGATTTTAAACATTGAAAAGGATCTTAGAGGCACGGAAGTTGGCCTGGCTATTCTTGGAAGTTCCTGAATTCTTATGCTGAAATTAATATCTGTGCTCAGTTCGGCATCCTCCACTATCGGGTCTCTCCTTCCCTCCCCCCCTCTCTTTTTTTCTTCTTCCAAGCACTGGACTGAAGGAACAATGTAGAGGCAGAAAGGAAATACATGTTCAGGGATTAGAAGGGCTTTTGCAAAGACTAATACCCTTCCTTTATTCACGTTCCAAAACAGACTAAACACAGCTGTCACAAAATCTGCAATAATGTGACCTACATTACAGTCTCTGTCTACATGCATATTGTGAAAAGAACTGAGTTCGTTTTCAAATCTATTATGCTCAAAAGTCTTACTGCACTGGAATATTTTAGACAAAGTTCCAATTCCTCCATTTTCTCTTATAAATATATTTCTGTGGTAGCAAGATGAACTATGATACCCTTCCATGTCTTAAAGCAACTTGCTTTTTTATATAAGGAAGTCGGTGCTCACAAGTGCTCTACTATCAAAAGAGCATGCATTACAAGCACTTCAGACACAGAGCCCAGAGATCCTAAGCTGGAAGTGACCTGAAACCCTCCTCGCTGAGGACTAGTTCTCATAGTACTAGAAGCACCATTCAAGCTTCCAAAGGAGGGAGGTAACCAACAGTCCTACCCAGCTATGACATCTATAAACAAAAATGACCAGAGTGACTCAGTAACCCTAAGAGTACAGTAGTGGCCCATTTATCTTGATTGTAACCAACAGCTCTTTCATTGTTCTTAAGACCCCACTAAATAAGAAAGAAGTCTTGCCTGATTCCAGACACCTAGCCAACTACCCAGAGATAATGAAGTCATGGATCTTGGAGAATCTATTACCACCACTTTACTAAATCAACATAATCCCTAACTACATTCTCAACATTGACAGACAAGTGTCATCCTCACCCTGCACCAAGGAAACTTCCATTTGCAACAGAAGACCATTACAGAAAACTGAACATAATCTAAATTCAAATTTATGAAGAACAATCTCAATTGACATATCTATAACACAAATCCTACAACTAAGGCTAAGGGGTCATTGTGGAAGAGAGAGCAGAATGAATCTAAGATTCAAGAGAACAGAGAGTTTGCTATAAGATTGTGTCTCCTAGGAAAGCCAGAAGCTACACGGATAAAGTCCCACCAATATGAGCTGAACAATGACAACAGACATACTAAACACAGATCGGAGGAGAGCCAAGAGTTCTTGTCCCTACACAAAGAACTACAGGTGATTAAGGAAAGCTGAGAATGTAGAATTAGTGTCCAGGAAAAAACACACCAATTAGTTATCTAGTGCCAAATGGTCATCCCTGAAAACATATGTGTCTGTGTATGTAAATATGCATCAATGGATCGAATCTAAGACCCTAGCGTAAATCCACACATCTGTGAACTTCTTTTTTACAAAAAAAAAAAAAAAAAAAGCTGAAATTATACAATGGAAAAAAGAAACCATTTTCAACAAATGGTGCTGGTATAGCTGGATATTCACATGTAGAAGAATGCAAATAGATCCTTATCTATCACCTTGCACAAAACCAAGTGTATCAAAGACCTCAACATGAATCCAGTTACACCAAACCAGATTAGAAAAGAAAGTGGGAAGTAGCCCTGAATGCATTGGCCCAAAAGACAACTTCTTGAATAGAGTAGCACAGATACTGAGGTTGACAATAAATGGGACTTAGTGAAACTAAAAGGCTTCTGCAAGGCAAAAGACATGGTAAATAAGACAAAATGGCAGCCTACAAAATAGGGAAAGATCCGCCACTGGATGAGGAATCTAGGATGGCATATAAAGTAGTCATCAGTCTCATTATAGGGGAAGGGCATTCAGGGTATCCTCTCCATCATTGGCTAGATTGTCAGTTCATGTAATCCTTGTAGATCTCTGGAAATCTCCCTAGGGCCAGATCTCTCTTTGGACCTATAATGGCTCCCTCTGTTATGGTATCTCTCATCCTGCTCTTCTCTATTCTTCTCCCCACTCAACATTTCTGCTCTTCCGTTTTCTCCTCTCCCCTCCTCATCTCCTCCTCTCATTCTGCCAGAACCCTCTCCCCTACCCTCATGCTCCCTGTTAGGTCAGGAGATCCTGGCCATCCTAGAGCCCTCATCCAGTGGTGGATGGAAGCAGAGGCAGACACCCACAGATATACACTGAATTGAACTCTGGAACCCGAGTTGCAGAGAGGGAGGAATGAAGATCAAAGGGGTCGGGACCAGGCTGGTGAAACCCACAGAAACAGCTAGCCTGAACAAGGGGGAGCACATGGACCCCAGACTGCTATCTGGGAGGCCAGCACAAGACTGATCCAGACCCCTGAACGTGGATGTCAAAGATGAGGCTTCGGCACCCTATGGGGACCCTGGTAGTGGATCAGTATTTTTCCCTGGTGTAAGTAGGAACTTTGAGAGCCCATCCCATGTGAAGGAATGCTCTCTTGGCCTGGACACAGTTCATAATTTGAACTAATAAAAAAAAATAGAGAAAGATCTTCACTGACCACCACATCTGACAGAGGGCTGATCTACAAAATATATAAAGAATTCAAGAAACTAGAAATCAAACTACCAAATAATCCAAGTAAAAAATAGGGTATAGATCTAAACAGAATTTTTGCCGGGCGTTGGTGGCACACGCCTTTAATCCCAGCACTCCGGAGGCAGAGGCAGGCGGATCTCTGTGAGTTCGAGGCCAGCCTGGTCTCCAGAGTGAGTGCCAGGATAGGCTCCAAAGCTACACAGAGAAACCCTGTCTCAAAAAAACAAACAAAAAAAATTAAAAAAAAAAAAAGATCTAAACAGAATTCTCAACAGAAGAATCTCAAATGGCCAAAAGACATTTAAGGAATTTCTCAACATATTTTCAACATCCTTAGCCATTAGGAAAATGCAAATCAAAACAACTCTGAGATACCATATTACACATGTCAGAATGGCTAAAATCAAAAACACTGATGACAGCTTATGCTGGAAAGGATGTGGAGTAAGAGGAACACTCCTCCACTGTTGGTGGGAGTGCAAATTTATACAACCACTTTGGAAATCAGTATGGAAGTTTCTCAGAAATTTGGGAATCAATCAACCTCAGACCCAACTATATCAATCTTGGGCATATACCCAAAGGATGCTCAATCATACCACAAAGACACTTGCTCAACCATGTTCATAACACCACTATTCATAATAGTCAAAACCTGGAAACAACCTAGATGCCCCTCAACCAAAGAATGGATAAAGAAAACGTGGTCCATTTGCACAATACAGTATTACTCAGTGGTAAAAAGCAATGACATCATGAAATTTGCAGGCATGTGGATGAAAAAATCATCCTGAGTGAGGTAACCCAGACCCAGAAAGACAAACATAGTATGTAGTAACTCATAAGTGGATATTAGATGTAAAGCAAAGGATAACCAGGCTACAATCCACAGGCCCAGAGAAGTTAGTTAACAATGAGAACCCTAAGAGGGATACATGGCTTTCCCTGGGAAGGAAAATAGATGAGATTTCCTGGGTAAACCAGGGCCAGGGGTAGAGGGATGGGGATGGAAGGGAGGATATGGGGGTGGGGGATGAGAACATGAGGGGTTGGATTGTTCAAGTTGAGGGTGGGACAGAGGAGGAGAGTAATAAAAGAGATATCTAGATAGAGGGGGCCATTTGGGGGTTAGGGAGAAACCTGGTGCCAGGAATCCACAAGGATGACCCTAGCTTAAACCCCTAGCAATAGTGGAGAGGGTGCCTGAATCAGCCTCCTCCTGTAATCAGATTGGTGACTACCCTAATTGCCATCAGAGCGCCTTCATCCAGTAGCTGATGGAAGCAGATGCAGAGAGACACAGCCAAGCACTGGGCCAAGCGCTGGGAATCTAGTTGAAGAGAGGGAAGAGAGATTGTACAAGCAAGGGGGGTCAAGATCATGATGGAGAACCCACAGAGACAGCTAGTGGGAGCTCACAGACTCTGGATCGACAGCTGGGACTGGCCTAGGTCCTCTGCTTGTGCGTCACAGTTGTGTAGCTTGGTGTGTTTGTGGAGCCCCTAGCAATGGAATCAGGATCTGTCCCTGGAACATGAGCTGGCCTTTTGGAACCTATTCCCCATGCTGGGTTTTCTCACCCAGCCTTGATGCAGGGGGAGGAGCTTGGTCTGGCCTCATCTTGATATGCCATGCCTTGTTGACTCCCATGAGAGGCCTTACCCTTTCTGAACAAAGGAAAAGTAGATGGCCGTGGGGGGAGGGGGAGGCAGGTGGGAGGTATGGGAAGGGAATGGGAAGACAGAAGGGAGGGGAAAATGTGGTTTTATTTAAAATTTAATTTAAAATACCATATTAGTAAAGAATAAAAGTCTATTTTCTATAACTACTCAACTTGCAAGTTGAAAGTTAACTT